CATCAAGCCTATGACAACAGATTCCTGTAGATGCGGTTTCTCTGCTTATTTGGTTTCACACCATCCTAAACCCGAAGATTGAAACGAACTTACCTGCCCTCACACCGCAGTCCATGGACACCCGCAAAACATTTTTGTTTCTAGGCCTGTAAACGCGATGTTCACCGTTTAGTTTCCCTGAGCATTGACACCTGGAAACCCGGGAATTTCCCAAACACTTAGAACATCGAAGATATAGATCCTACGACCACAGCATGCGCCTCTACTCAGTCCAACACACAGGCTCTTCAATCACGGCTGTGTTTTTAATGAAGTCCTATGGGGTTTACAGCTCTAAACCCTAAACCCCTAAACCCTAAGCCTATAAATGTGTTCTGTTTCTGCAACCTGCGCACAGCCGGCCGTGTGCATTTAAGACTGGCTATCCAGCAAGCTCCTCTTTCATGCCTGGGCCCAAAGTCGAATCCCCTAAACTCTTCGTATAGTGTAGTACAGTGTTTAGTGTATAGCGTATAGTACAATATAGTATTGCATACTATAGTAGAGTACTGTGTGCTATGGTATCGTATAGTACAGCCTGGCATACTACAGCATAGTAGTGTTCCCTAAGCACCAAACCCCTAAACTGCAAAACCCTAAATCCTATACCCTGAACCATGAAACCCTAAAGCCGTAAACCCTCACCAGAACAGTTTGACACTTGGAGAACCATGATAGTGCAACCTCCATCTTGATCAGCTTGAGGTTGTAATGTGTAAGGGTTTTAAGAAGTGCAGGCTCTTCTTATTCTAGTATAGTTTTTATGCCGAACCCTGACAAGGAATTATGTTGGTATTTTTCAAGCTTGTATACTAGACGATCATCTTGGTCTTGGAGCCCTGAAATTCAGGATCCCCATCCTCGACCTCAGCACCCTGAAGCCCAAACCTGTAACCCTGAACTTGAAGCCCCAAACTCACTTCCTCAGGACCACGCAGCAGACGATGTCGAGGCCGATGTGTTGGCCCTTTCGGGGTTGCTGTAGCAGCAGCAGTAGCAGTGGCAGTGGCAGCAGCCGCAGTGGCAGCGGGAGCGGTAGCAGTAGCAGCACTGGCAGTTGTAGTGTGGCAGAAGGACATTTAGCAGATCTGTTCAGCAAGAGGCGCTGCTGGGTGACTCCGGCGACAAGAGACGCTCGGGCCTGAGCCGGAACGGAGGTATGCTGGATGTAGCACAGTTTGTTCAAGCGAAGCTGTGCTTATTCCATGAAGGCCGGTTTCGTGATCGTTTGGCTTAGGGGCTTAGGATAAGGAAATTGATTGAGTTCGTAGGCAACGGATCTAGAAGCCGAGTGGATCATGCCTCAAGACCTGTACACCTCGAGGCCCAGAGTCAAAAGACATGACTCTCTTAGGTCTAGGGTTTAGGGTTTAGGGTTTTTGTGAGGTGCCCTTATTCCCCGCAACCACCAAATCAGGGTGTGGGATCGAGTACGTGGATGAAAAGCAGGGGTACAAGCAAGGTATGTTTCACCTAGCCTCAAATCTTGAGTCATTAGCAGTATGTATTTTTCCGGCTTCCCGGCATGGCTATATCAATCGGAAACCCGATGCCAATGCAGAGCGAATCAGGCCCTTGCAGGGTCCCTGCATTGGTTCCTCTGCCTGAAGCCTAGACCCCCCCCCCCCCCCCCCC